CTGTATGTAAAAGCTTCATTTGTACAGCAGCAAGTACATGCAGGTGACGAAATGAGCGATTAAAGTGCACAAGTTTATAAATTAATTCAAATAAATGGCCTTATCATTCATGTCAAAAGGTGCCACATGTATCGCCAAACTTACAACACCATAGAGGACAGAACACAAACTCCTGCCTGCATGTGTGTGTGTGTTGAATCAACAGGGATCGTATTGAATAAGCACAGTTAATCCACAGCAGGGTAAACAGTTGAAAGTTATACTGAAAGCCTGAGCGTTATGTTTCTGTATATTTTTAATTATAATCAAGTTGTGTTTTCCTTTACATAAATAAAGACATTTACACCTTAAACTCATGCAGAAAAGAAACAAAATTGGTGAAAATCACCAGGATGCAGGAGAAGAAGTATTTGGTACCCCCCCTCCCACACACACACACACACACACACACACACTCACACAAACACACAAACACACACACACACACCCCACACTCAGTGCCCACCCTTCTTCCAGTGAGGCCGACACCCAGCCACCTAAATCTGTGCATGTTGGGTGGTTTAATGTGGGACACTGACTCATATGTTCTTGGCAAATCACGTTTACTCTGACCACACGTGCTTTGTGCATTTTTACCGTATGTACAATCTTAATTTGTACATGGCTACTAACTATAGCGGTCAAGTAAAAGCAGATAAATCCCTGAAATGAAGTAGAAAGTACTGAATTAAACTGCTTAAGCAACGTACAAGTAGCTCACACAATGAATTGTTTTTTTCCTTTTTCTCATTTTCTTTGAATGCTGGAGTCTTAAAAGCATGAAGCCTGTTCTTCCACCCGCAAAAGAGTCGATAAATCAAATGTTTGTGTGGTATTTGTGGTTGAACTGGATGAGGTGATGCCGATTGTCATTTTTAGTGTCAGAAATTATACGCTCTGCTAAAACCCCACACAGCCAGGCCTGCTCCTGCAGCCATGGCTAAAGCGCTTCTCTTAACTTTTTTTAAGGGTTAAAAACACAGTGTTTGAAGAAGTGCTTTTATCGCCTGCTGCACGCTGACAGTCTGATTTCCAAAATCGATCCAGTGTCACCTGAGACGTACAGGAGAGCTTTAGCAGCTTTATGTTGGCAGACCACATGTTCATGTTGATGTTTTCTAAAGGGCTTTCTGTTACTTCACCAATTGTTCATACATAATTTACTAAAGTTTTGTAGTTAAACATTTGGGGTAACAAGGTGTGAAAATGTATTTTTTAATTTATTTTTTTTGTCTATATTGTCCATTTATCTATAGCTGTACATTTAATGGAAAGTTAAGCATCAAATATAATATAATTCTTCTAATTGAAAGCAGAAAAGACAAGCAGGTGATTGCATTTATTTAGACACGCAGCAAAGCATTTAAAATAATCGCCAACTGTTTTAATTTTCAATCATTCAGTTTGAGTCGTTTTATTTTGAAATAAAAAATCTCTGATTCTAGCATCTTAAATTTGAATATTTTCCAGTTTAGTTAATATCTTCAGGTTGTGGACAAAACAAGAGATTTGAGGACATCATTTTGGAATTTGGGGAAAACTGATGGTCATTTTTGACAGTTTTCTAACATTTTAAAGGTCAACAACTAATTAGGTAATCAAATAAATAATAATCAACACTGAAAAAAAAAATAGTGAGTTGCAGTGATTATCTGGAGTCATGATCTGTCCATCTAGGTTGTAGGTTTAATATTCATTCACTTTTTTTTCTTTTAGCTCAGCACACTGTCGAAAAGATTGATGAGAGAAGTGAGAGGAAGCCTGACAGTAAAGTTTGAGGCTGGAGGACTAAAACAAAGCGTAGAGCTGGAGAACAGCCGCTGTGGTCTCATTAGATAGTCATGTTGTTCTTTAATAAGATCAAAATAGGGATTTTAGCTGCTTATGGAGGTCAAGACAAAGTTGGTGTCCAGTGTTGGCCATCAACAAACTGAAGCCTTGCTGTAATACTGGCTGTCTCATGCATCATTGTTACAAACTGACTTCCTACTTCCTTTTAAAAAAACAAAACAAAAAACAGCCCATTAATTGTTAACGTCACTGCTTCTTGGTGAATGAAGGAGATATTGATTGATCTGAAACAGCTACACAGAGACAAGACACATTTCCAAGAAGAGACGTTTATACAATTATTGTTATTGAGCACTCACACTGGCGTCATAATGCATAACGCATTATCTGTCAAAATAATCACAATTTCCTTTTTCATACCATCCAGCCCTATAGTTCCAAGACTGTAGTTTATACTGACAGACGATCAAGGTGATGACTGACACTGAGAGAAACAGATCACATCATGACAGTGTAGCAGTGATTCACATAAGCCACCACCAACAGTTCTTTCCTGACTTTCTTTTTATTATTTAAATAACTGTCCACAGCAGTTTCTGGGTGTTTTTTGCACTTTGGGTTCATGTGTCACTGCAATATAAAGTCCTGCACCTCGATGGAAACAGTACAACCATGGCTAGAAGTAGACAGAACCCAAAAACAACTTTTTTGTGCAGCATGACAGAGTTATAATGCCATAAAATTATTATTTTTTTAAATATATTGATTTCCTTTTATAAAATTTTGTATGAAACTGGAAAAAGCAAGAATCAACATGTACAACACTGTCCCCGCATAGTTCCCACAGAGGATACCAGTAGTGGAAAAAAAAGGTGCTTCTACAAACTGTAGATGTTTTACTACTTACATTTTAAATTGTTTCCATACTTGTCTCCACTCTGCTCTGTGTAAACACAGCCTGCAGTTCATCCAAATATTATGAATTTTTGCTGCATGACTGTTAAAGTGGAGTCACTAATGACTTTTCAGTTGTGCTGGGAAGAAGAGTTGTTTTTTTTTAAATATATAGTATCTGGTTTCAGCAAATGGAATTGAATCAAGTGATTCTGATGAATCACGAGTCACTTAGATTTGAATAATTTTGCAGACGGGCAGGTCAGTCAGGCATGAGTACTTCAAGGACTGTCAGAAAGTTGAAATTGTGGTGATCTTTCAGTTTTGACAGTTTCTTGCTGTGACTAAGGGTGTAGTTTGTGTCGATTGTTTTAAAGACAGCATGCTTTTCAAAACTGATGGCAGGGTTTGGGGTTTAGAGAGTCCAGTGACACAGTATTTTTCTGAACAACTGACTAATTCTTTAATGAATGAAATGTTCACAAGTTGCCTGTTTTGTTGCCTAAAGATACCAACGTCACAATTACAGGTGGCAAAGAAAAGATCATTTCATTGGAGAAGCTAGAATCACAAAATGTTTGGCATGAAATAATGCATCAATTAATTCAATTAGCTAATTGTTCCAGTTAATTATTAAAAGGTGCCAATCACTGTAGAAGTAAAAGAAAAAAACTCAACTTAAGGTCTATCAAATATAGCTAATTAAGTTTTTAAAAATAATTAATGCCATTAATGCTCCAGTAATAACTGAATATTGGAGTTTTTTTTTCTTGTTTTTATATTCTTATATTTGCTTTCTTATCCACTTCGCTTTTTCTTCTTCATTAAATTGCCCACAATCGAGGGGTCATATTTTTTAAAATTTGGAATTATGCTCATGCATCACTATCAAGGGTCATCGTGGAGGTAAGAAAAGTTAAAACATAAATGAAGTTAAACCCTAAATTATTTATATGCCAGTTTTTGATTAACAGTGATTTTTTATTGACCAATAGGTTTCTTCTGGCCGACCTTTTTTCTTTTTAAAAAAAAACTAAAATGCCATGTCCATATTATTTATACTCATTGAAACATTTTTGAGAAGATGCTGCATCTGTACTATTTCAAATGATCCTGATAATTTCTACAATGCTCTAGAACGTTTAATACAGTATAAACTGAGAAGAGCTGATGCAGCAGTTCTGTCTTCAGTTACAGGTGAACTGCAAGTCGTGGCGGAAACCAGAGAGCTCAGTGAGCTTTTAGGGTCCATCACTGAGAGAGAGCTGCTCATTGTGGCTGCTCACAAGACTGGGAAAGGTTATGAAACCAGATCAAAGTGTTTTCAAGCGCCAGTGGCCAAAGCAGAATCACAGAGTACAAGGAGTTCCACACTGTGGAGAATCTCAAAGGGCGTGGTGGGAAGACAAAAGTGACTCTGTGATGAATGTGAAGAACGGTGGAGGCCAAGAAGAATCCAAAGATAAACACCAAGACCATCCTGATGAACCCGATCAGTTCTGGTAGAAACACCTCAACGAGACGCTGAAGAAGGAAGACAGACACAAAAACTTAGCTGGACAAAGACTGAAGTTTCTGGTCGTCAGTTCTGGTTGGATGAGATGAACATGGAGTTGTTTGGACACAGAGAGAAAGAAAAGAGACTCATTTAACCCCAAGAACACCGTCGCCACAGTGAAGCATGGTGGAGGGAACGTGATGCTTTGTGGGTGTTTTTCATGGGAAACAAGGACGTTAAGACTTTGGAGGAAAACATCAGGCAAGCTGCAGAAAACACATTCACAGAAGAAACCTATCAGCCAAATGAGCATTCATTATAAACAAAAATTCAGAAGTCAAGTCTTTAGTTTCAGCCTCTCAAATGTAAAAAATAAAATAAAAAAGCCCCTTTTCTTTGTCTTATAGGCCAGTGTTGACATTTGTGGACCAAAGAATTTATTGATTGACTGAGTAAACGATCAATAGTACAAAATAATCATCAGCGTTGACCTTTATCTGCTCAGAGCATTGTTCTGAATCAGCCCTTTATCACTTCACAGGACTGTAGACGGCCACATGTCAAAGGGTAATCATCCTGTGACCTACAATAAAACACAAAGTCAGGATTATGTCATGGAATTTAAATTATTTATAAGCTGGATGTGAGGGGACAACTAGTGATTCTTCATGAAGCTTCCATCACTTTGATAGTGTAGTTTTCTGAGGCATTTAACTGAGAGAGAGAGAGAGAGAGCAGGGCCTCAGGGGAGATCAGAGGGTCACACTGGAGAGACGAGCAGATATAATGTCAGTGTGATGGAGAGGGAGAGAGGGAGGAGAGACACAGACATGGACGCTGGCCAATGATCTGCGAGCAGAATAACTAAAGTAGAGACACGGAGCAGATTTCATAGAGCCAGTTATTCTCTCACAGGCCGAAAAAATGCGAGCGAGCAGGAGGTGATGAGGAGCAGCAGCAGCAGCCAGGTGGTTTAGTCCGTTTATTCATCAGTCCTTCCATAGATGCGCTGGCGGGTGGTGCAGGCCGGCGGCGGGGGTTCAGATCCGAGCCTGGAAACACGCTCCGTCCTCAGCATGAAATCTAAGATCCGACAATAGCGGAGGCTGAGGAGGAGAAGCCGGATTGACGGGACGCATGAATTAAATAATCATCCGCACCTCACGTTTCCCTCCCTTAATGTTCTCAACCGGAGGTGTGCGGAGGAGAGAGCGATTCGCCCGGAGAGCCCAGCGGCCGGAGAGCAGCTGGCAGCTGTGGACGCCTGGAAGGTGGTACCCAAGTGTCGCTGTTTATTATCTGGGATCTGACTCCGGAGGCGCGTCGCTGAGGTTATGGGCTGCGCTCCCAGTATCCACGTCTCTCAGAGCGGCGTGATCTACTGCCGAGACTCAGACGAATCCAACTCGCCCCACCAGACCACCACCATCTCTCAGGGCACCGCGGCCACGCTGCACGGGCTTTTCATCAAGACCGATGCGGCCGAGACCATCCCCTCCGTCATCACCTACCAGAGCCGCCACTCGCGCAACAACTCGTACCGGGATCGCAAGGAGAACAGCGGGGGACACATCCGCATCGAGGCCGAGACGCAGACCAGCCACACCAGCGTCAAGGTACGGTGCAAGCTGGGGGCGCGCCCCCTCAGCCGGACGCGGTGTTTGTGGCGCAGGTACACCGTCCTCTCCGGGGTCGTGGGCTCAGCTGGGAGGGGGGGTTTCACCAAGCAGTGCACGTGAAGGGAGGGCCTTTGTTTTTGTTTGTTTGTTTGTGACCAGAGGAGGCCAAAGCCCGCAAGGTCTGCTCGCTGCACTTCACTCCGGGTGCTGTCGCTCACTGGGCAGCCATCAGTGATCATGAATGTAGCTCACATGATGGGACTGCTGAGAGGTGTGATGCAGTCAGGCTCATCTACTGCAAGATGTTTCCTACAAGATGTATGGGTTGAAATGGCAAGAAGCTCATGAAAACCAGTGCTTCACACTGGAAGACATAGTACCAACTTAGCTGAATTGCTTTATTTGCTAAGACTGAAGTGAATTCATCCAAATGAAGTGAACATGTAATATAGCTAGTTTAGGTTTGATGTACCTGAATCTTCTAATTCCTCCTAAACGAGCTGCTCTAGCTTCAATTTAGCCACAACTTGAAGTGTCAAGTTTTTCCAACGACACTATTTTTGTCATTAGACTTCCTGTCATCCTACCTGGAGACACCAGTGGAGTGGATGTCAGATGAATGATGCTGAAGAAGCAGTGAACCTCTTTTTTTCCGCTGAAATTCAAATACCAGTTTAAAAGGACAAAATGTAATTTAAACTTGATACAAAATTAAACTACCGTCACCAAAGCAGAAAAATAAGTGAGATTTATTCCAAACAGTACTTTACTCCAGCTCAAATACACTTTAAACAGTAAAGATGCACATCATCCTAACAGAGCTGATGTATTGGACTGTACATGGTGCTTCCAATTAATGTCAATAAGCCCTACTTAAACATTTATAAGGATCTATAACACATTGTGATATGTTTGTTAGTGGATAAAGGACATTTAAAGTGTTAAAGATACACTGCATATAATGATTTTCATTCATTATTCATTTATGTCCTTCACTGTGTCCACATGAGGACTTGTGATTGTTTCGGAATACACTAATAAACACAGTAATCTGCTTACAAACGTGCATCAGAGTGTGTTATACATGCATAGCTGCATGTGTTTAAAAGACTGGAAGGTTATCTGAATGAATGCTTCATGAAAAAAGATGCATTGCAACTTTACACAGAGCTGATGTATTGGACTGTGTGTCTACTTAGGATCTATAAACCTTACACAAACATTTATAAAGGTTTGTAACACTCTATTATGTATTTGTAAGCAGATAAAGGACATGTTAATTGTGGAAGACATTGCATATGAGAGCAAACAATTATGGCCAGGTACAATAATATGCACATATCTTCTCACAAATGTAAATTATAGTGACTAGTTATTATTGGTTCTAAACCACTGGTGCATGTGTGTAGAAGACAGTGTCAGTGCTTCATTGATAAACTTCACAATGAGCTGACAAAAGCACTATAATAACACTTATAATAGTTTGTAACTTGGAAGCAGGTAAAGACCACTTTAGGTGTTTATTAATGTAGCGTAGTGAGACACAAATGATTACAAATGATTTTTCCTGTGTTTTATTCATAATCTGTTTTTATCTGCTCATACTGCACTCCCCTTCAGTTTGTGTCCTCAGGAAAGGTTATAAATGTGGACAAATACATTAATAAACTCTTATATCTGCTGACAAATGTGTAACGTTGTAAGTTATAAACCATGCCTTTTCTGACTAACTTCCAGCAGTGGTCCCAGACCTCCTGATATGTATAGTTTGAACATGTGCAATAAGAAAACCTTGTTTACAGACTGTTTATTTGAAAGCAAAATTTTTTTAAAAAAGTCCACCGAGCTGGTTATTTCTTACGCATCAAGTGCCAAAAGTCAAATGATGAGCAGTCAACTTGGGTTCAAACATTAAAGTAAGTCAAGTCCTCTATAGTTTCTGCCACTAATAGCTGTGCCCTTAAAATTGAAGAACAATAATTCTGCTTTTGGCTTCCTGAAGTTTACCTCAAAGCAAAAAGGAAGTTGCTGTGTGTAATAAGCTATTCATCTAATAAATAAATCAATAGGTCATAAAGTAAAACACAAGTTAGTCATTAGAGTTAATAGCTCATTTCCATCTTAGTGTGCTGAGGACAGCAACTGGCTACCGAGTTCAATTCATAATCTAGTGCACAAAAATCAAACTGGCTAATGAAAAGTTTCCTCATGTCATCCACAAAAACTATTTCTAGAGCTGTTTTCAGGAACTTTAATATGCGCCTCAGGGTTTTCCTTCTTCCTCAGCACACAAAGTTTATGCTCCTTGAGTTGATTTTTGATGGTCAGACATCTTCTTCCAAGAAAGAACCTTTATAGTCAAAACTCAAGTTAGCTGTTTAAAGCTCCTTCATTCAAATGAATAGATAGTAATAGTTAAGTTACTACATAAGACTCATGAGAATGGCTCGTCTATGCGTCGCAGCGTTCACATCCTGTCATACAGCTTGTGTGCTTTTTACTGGCTGATGGATCCCTCTCATGAGGAAGCATGTGAACAGATACTTCTTCATATTTATGATCGAACCCCAGAGGATATAGCTGTGTTTTCTTAACAAGTAGTGTAGCAGATGATCCTGTCATCAGACTCTCAGAGTACATTAACCCTTTCAGGCCCGGGTCAGACAATGTGAGTTAAAATTCTGCCTCTTTTGTAGCCACTCGGTTAAACAGAACATAAACCTTTGGTGAAGTACTGGCTAGCATTTGTGCATCTGTTTTTTTTTTAATGTAATTCCTAAGTCTTAGTTGAGCTTTTAGAAATCTACACACTCTTTAATTCTCACTTCTTGTATTTTTTTTTACCTTGAACTTGTCCAAACGTGGAAGAAATTTGGCACCTTGTTATTCACGTTAGTCAATGAAAAATATTTAACATCATCAGCAGCTGAATTCGTCGAACGCTCTGCAACGGCTGAATAATATTTATCACCGGCAGTTGAATGTGTTTTATAGACTTGTGTCATGGGTTTAGCACAGATAGTGTTTGTGTGGAGTGCGTCGGTTTGTCAGCTGTTCCTTTGCTCTCCCTCAGTTCCCCTCCATCACCGAGGACTGAGGGAGGATCAGTGATACCATTTATTATTAAAACCATCTGCCTTACCCTGCAGGATCTTGATAATCTGCCATGGCGTTGATCACGCTCCCATGTGTGTTTGTGTGCGTATGTGTGCGCATGTTTATATACACAAGTCATTTGTTTACCCCTCTGGTCAGTGCGGCAGGGAGCTCAACAGTCACATGTAAAGGAGCTGATTCTGGCGTCCCGTACAGACTTCCCCGCAGGGCTTTGCACAGAGTCCCTGACTTGTAAGAACATACGGACAAGAGCATGAATTAGCTGTTTTTCACCATCGTCGCAGCCACCTCTCGTCTAGACACGCAAAAGTTCAGATGCAGGTTCTGTGTTCAGAAAAGAGAAATGAGCACACAAGCAAATCAAACCCAGTTAACACTGTTCTTTGAACCTGACAGCAGTTTCACAGAAAGCGTCTTTAACCCGCAGAACTTGAAGCAGTTTTAGGGCATTTCTTTGCTCCTGTTACATTTTTACTCACTGTGGGCTACTTTTTCACTGCGACATAAAGTCCTGCACCTCGATAAAAACAGCACAGCCGTGGCTAGAAGAGAGAACTCAAAAATGTCTTTTGTGCAGCTTAACAAAGTTACAGAGCAAAAAATATCCCCCTGAAAAGAAGTTGAATTTCTTATTAGTTTAAAAAAATAATAAAAAAATGAAATCAATGTTGTATGCAACTTTTTAAAAAATTTTTTTTAAAATTCCCACATGTGTTAACAGCACCAGAAAGAAGGTGATTACTCTACCTGCTAAACATATTCTATTTTCAATTTGTTTCCGTACTCCTCTGGTCGAACACATCCTGCAGTTCAGCTCAGTATTCACTTCATTTTTGTCATGTGACTGTTGGTCACAGCTGAGACACTAACAGCTTCATGGTTGTACCAAGCAGGGGAGAATTTTTATTTTTTTGCAGAATCTGGTCAGTGCAAATTATTTATTTTTTGGTAAATTTTTAAATGAGGCATGTAGAATACAGGGATTTGGAACAAATATCACCATTTCAAGCTTGTTGTGTCCCAGTGGAGCCTCACGTCACAGATGAGCAGTTTAAGAAAAGCTTCTGTTTCAACAGTGTCTGGCTCTGAAAACTGGTGTCTTTATTTTTTTTTTTACATTTCTTTTTCAAGAAAACACACCTTTTATGCTAGCAGATTTGGGGATTCAGAGGGTTAAAGGCTTTTTCTTTTCATTGTTTATTGTTGCAAATCTTTTGAGATTAGAAACAGCACAACATGAGCAGTGTGCAGGATAAAATACGAGGCTTCCTGTAGAGATGAAAACTTGCATTTTAGCAACAAGTAGCGATTCAAAAGAACAGTGTTGTGATGAGAAGACATCAAAATGTGGATGGAGATGTAGAGGAATAGATTTGCAGATTTAATAGACACTATGAAGTAACAGTGGAGGCTCTAGGTGCCTGAAAAGAAGGTCATGGGGGAGCTTTATTATGACTGACCCTGCACTCCTTAAAAAAAAAAAGCTGTGATATACAAAAAATAAAGAATTTAACTGTGCCGTAGCAAACTCCAGAAGAAGATGTGTCGCGACGATAAGTTCTGTGGCATTCTGACCTTAGATCCATTAACCTTTGTCGCATGTGCTCTCAGGTTGTAATTCTGGTTTACACATCACAGTTATGTAACTGTATATACCAAAGCTCAGTGTACGTAAAGCCCCTATTCTTCATGATGTCTCAAAAACAAGGCCGGAGCGCTACAGGCTACAGTCCCTTATACGTTTACATAATCACTCTCACCACATACAGGAACTCACATTATTGATCCTATTCACACTCACCAGTGATGTACAACAAGGCTCAGCTCTGTGTCAGTGTTCTCAGAGGGACTCATTCATGGTAAACTGGTCAAATCTGGAA